AGGCCCTGTGGAGGTGTATTTGAAAACACAGGGTCTCCTATGCCTTCAAGGAGGGTGAGAACACTGTGCTGGCTGGTTCCAGGGCCATATGCAGCGTATGGTGGCCAATGAAACGGGGCCTGGCTCGTTCTCTTGCTTGTCTTGGCAGCCTGTTCCATGGCTTGTATTACCAGCCCTGGAACACAACCACTGCCAAACTGTGTGTGTGTGTTTGGACTCCGAGAGCTCAGCAGAAACAAATGCTTCTGCAGCTCAGACCAGGATTTTTTAGCTAGTTTTGAGAAAACTTGCATGAAAAACTGTATCTGGAGGCTGTTGCCAGAGTCTGCACTGGGAATTTGCTGGTGAGTGCTTGCATGGGGACATCTGGGAATACCAGTCATTGGCGTTCAGATTCTTAGTATGACTCCTAGTGATTTAAAAAAGCAAAAACCTGCTCCTCTCGGGATGAGTGGGTGGGTGCTGGAGCTGCCGTCCAAACTGTCCGTGTCAAGCAGTGATTGGTTGTCCCAGGTTCCTGGGGTCTGGGGCATTAGCTAGACCTGCTGAGAGTTAATGTGCAGGTTGCTGCCTCTGTCTCCTCCCTGAGACATCAATGGATGTTTCTCCCTCATCTTCACAGCTGAGCATTGAGCATTTCCTTCCTTACAGGATGCAGAGGTCTCTGTGCTGCGGGCCTTGCCAAGGAAGAATGGGTACTCCCTCACACCTCTTGCCTCCAGCTGCCCTCTCCATCTGAGCAGTGTGTCCAGCTAGGCTGCTCAAGCACAGGCAGTCCTGAGCATCTGTTCTGCAATCTTCTTCCCCGTGCTAGTGTTTGCTGCTTCAGCTGCATTGCTTGGGCCAGGTACTTGGCAGCATGCAGTGTCTTGAATGTGAAGTTGTTGAGAAGGTCTTTTCACTGCAGTAGGCTCTTCCCGCTGGATCTGGCCCCAGGACCAAGGAGGGCAGAGCCATGGTGTGTGGCATGGACCCCTTGCCAGCCTGCATGTGTCCTGCAGAGCCAGTGCAGCAAGGAGGGGGCATGGCAAACCTGATGCCATCTGTCTTTGGCTGCTTATGTGGATTTCTCAGTTGCTTGGACTGTCCAGAATATCAGTACAAACATTGCAGGCTATTTTAGCATGCAGCCAGAGAGCTGAAGGTCCATATGGGCCTCTCAGCTGAGCAGGGCTGTTGCAAACTAGCCAGAGCTGGTCTTTATATGGATTAGAGGCCTTTGTGGATGACCCTGGCATTCAGGGCATAATTTTGATGGGTTTGTAGGGGGGCCTCTCATCTCTGAGGCCATCCTTGGCCCCTGAGGGCAGAGCTCTGTGCCGGAGTAGGGTTGTCTTCTTGAAGAAGATTCCAGCACTGACCACATGTGGTCATGGATGGTCCTGGGGGATTTCAACAAGTCAGTCGTTAACCTCAGTGTCTGATCTGCAGCCTAGCTCAGACCAGGATATTCCTTACTCCTCAAATCTCTTTGAGCTGCTCCAGGCAGAACTAGGATAGTTTTATACCTTTCTGCTCTGTACTGCTGTCCAGTGGGTGGTGCAGCATTATTAAATATCTGCCACAAATAATTAATTGTGATCTCTACTAATAATACTGTGATCATTAATTGCATTTTTTTGCAGTTATTGCAATTAATTGTTGCAATAGAGGAGCCTTGCTATGCTAGGTGCTGTACAAAACCCTGCTGTCATGGGTTGCTTGCAAGTCAATCACTGCATTGCAGTGGTGGGGGCAGTGTAATGCTAAACTAGAGCTTTTTACTACCCTGTGAAGATGTGGAGGAAAATTCTCAGGGAAAAAGGACTGTTAGCTGACTGCTTTGGTAGTGGAAAAGGGGGGGTTATTTCTAAACCTGAGGACTTGAGGACCAGTATCCCCCCTTCCTCATAATGGGGATAAGGAGTCAAAGCATCAGACAGGCAGGTGTGGAGGCCTGATGGTAAGACTCAGTTGGGTGGGGAGCTGCACTTCTGAGGCTGTCTGCTCTGAGCTGCCCTGAGGTTACAGTGTAGGGAGCTGTGTGCCTCTCTGATGGAAAAGCGGAGGGAGGCAGCAAGGCTCTCTGCATTCTTGTTTTCAGAAAGCTTTTCATCGCCTTCTGTCTATGAATGACTCGGACGTTCCTCCTGCCATCTGTGTGAAACTAGAAGTGCAGGACAGAGCCAGACTGTTCCCACTCACAAAATAGGTTCACATTTCCATCTCCTGGGGAACTGTCCTTCACAGCTCCTTCTTCTTAGCATTGTAGCCCTGCAGTCTACTCACAGGAGTTTGGGATGGGACATTACATGTCAGGATGTTCACAAACTCAGCAGCTCTTCTCCCACCAGATGGGGTTGCATGGGAGAAGAAGGGAACAGCAAGAGCAGCAGCTGGGTGTGTCTGTGGGAAGGGCACAGATGCCTCTTTGGCCCTGCGACCCCAGGGCCTGGTTGCAGGAGCGCTCTCCCTCTTGGGATGGAAGTGGGGTGTAGAAGTAGCAAGGTACTACGGTGTCTAGCATACTGAGAGAGCATGCTGTACCTCCATGCACTTGGTAAGCTGTTCTGTGATCATGCCTTAAACTGGCCTTTAAATGAAGGGGAATCTGCCTGATGCAATAAACCACTAATGTTAGGTCCTTGGCAAAGAGAGGGCATGCACAATTTTATCCCAGTGGGTGTCACTGCAGCTCTTCAGTACAATACAGGTGGTGGGTTCTTGGTATCAACAGGTTCAGCAGATGAATGAATGAATGAATGCATGCACAGTGGCTGTTGTTTAGAGTTTGTGTTTGCCAGCACTACAGCATGGGTATCTGAAAAGGCTGGTTAAAACCAAAGGGTGTGTTCTGATGGTTGGCAGATAACTTTGGTACTGATAAGTGTGGCCTTTGGCACTGGCACTGCAAGTTACTACTTTTAACAATGCAGACCAGAAGAAGCTAAACAGGAGATGGGGTGACCTGCTGTAAGGTACTGCTTGAAACTAGATGCATATAGAACAGACAGCAGTTTTGTGGGAATGGGAAAGTAACACATGTTAGACAAGAGAAGAAAACAGTGATTGCATGGCTCTGTACTTGTGGCACTGGGAATATGGGGTAGTGGCCTTCTGCCTTCAACTTTGTCATGCTTAACTTGGCACTTAGTGGGGGCTGAACCTTGAAGTGGAAGAAGGTCTGAGGGCTCCAGTCACCCTCAGCACCCTACAGTCTCCTCAGCCAGAAGAGTCCGGATGGAAAAAAGCAAGTGTCTCTGTGCTTCAGAGAAGGAGGGATAGCCAACTGTCCTGTCTTTGTTTAGGAAGTTACATTCTTGGGTCATGAGAAGTTGGGCATGTCAGGAAAGGGCTTTCATATAAATCATCATTCTACCAACAGAAAGAACTAGAAAGATGCTATGTATGACATACAGGCTGAGTGAACTTAATAGCTAGGAGCTAAAAAAAAGTTTTAAATTACAGTAAAGCCATAATAAAGTCTAAGGAACCAGAAGCTGCTTCTAATGGATGGTAGTGCTACTTCTGATCTCCACAGCGGAATTACTGCCTATTGGCCAGGAGCAGTTGAAAGGCCAATTGCTGTGACTTAGGTGTTTCAAGACAATGTATACACATGGTGATAGTATGCTAACACACTGATGAAGAGATCAAAGATCACTTTGGTGTCTTGCGGACCTTGGCAGTGTTCTGATGTGTGGCAGCTGATGGTAACAGCAGGCACCCAGGTGGAGCCTGGAGTGCGAGAGCAACAGGAGTACGGCCTTGGTTCTGCAGGCAGGAGAAGGGCTGGTAGGACAGATTTTGCCTTAGTGCAACACTTAACATGGGCAAGAGAGAAACATGCTGGTATTTACAGTGTCAGAATCTGCTGGCTGGCAATATTAGGTGCTAGACTGGCACTCTGAGCATTGGAAGGGTACTTGGATCAACCACTGCAGATGTCAGAGCATGTAAAATAGCTTATGTTAGAAGAAACCGTGATTTATAGACAGCAAAATTGAAAATAAGGTTGCAGACAACCCTCACTCTTGCCAAGGAAGCTGACAGCAGAGATAAGACAGTAATGGCAATTTAAATAGAAGCGTGACTGTCAGACTGCTTTGGGATGTCATGGTCCTCTCTGCATGATGATGCTGTTGATGCAGCAGCAGATGCATTGGGTTTATAAAGAAGCAAACAACACGTCTAGATAAGTGAGGATGCATAGGATGGTCCTGGGGGACAGTGGATACAAACTAAGGCAGTTTCTGCACAAGAAAATGAATGTATGATTTCAACACAGGTAGGCATTCCTGTGCCAGTTTTAGTCTGTGGGTAAGAATAGCACTGAAGAGGTGGCAGGAGGGGTGTGAATACAGGCTAGCAACCAGAGTACAAGCCCCTGGGGACCCTGGGTTATGTGGATTATGCCTACGCATGTTAGATTTATGCCATAACTGCTGTGCAAACATCAGCTCCTTCAAAAAAACAAACAGAGTCCCAAGCAAAAACAGCAGCAAAATCAGTGTGGGAAGAAAAAAATAAACCAACCCCAAGCAAATGAAGATTAGAACTGCAGGAGAAAGAATAGGAGGGTGTGCAAGAACTGTCACCAAGGAAGCTGAGCAACTGCACAGAACAGTAACAACTTCTTCCCACTAGGTTGTGGGCTCCAGAAAATAACAGACCCTGGCAATAGGAGAAAAACTGAGTAATAGGTGCTGCTTTTAAGAAATATGAAATCAACCAGTGTCACAGACTGTTGACCATAGGGGTGTAACTGGGGGACAAAGTACAGAAACACTCATCACTGATGGGAAAGATGCAGCAAAACCAAGGTGAGCAGAAGAAGCTGTACTGATAGCTTTTTGGTGATGAGACTGCTGATAAAATAACTGAGCTTAACTGAGATCACAACAAAAATGGTGCCAAAGCAAGGATGCAAAAGTGACTGTAATAATTAGGAGGGTTTGCAGACATTTCAGCAAGAGGTCAAGTCTTGTGTTACAGCATTTTAACCAGAACAAGGGGAGTCTAGAGGCAAGATTAAGGAAATACAAACTGAGTTTTGACCTGTGAAATCATGTGTTGACAAGATTTTTGCTGCAAGGATAGTTGCTGAAGAGACCATTGAATGATACAAGCTGCTCATCACTGAACTGAAGTTTTAAGAAAGCCTTCTCTGTCTTCTAATTCAGTCTGGAGCATGTTGATGTCGTGGCATGAAATGATGAATAGCATCAGTGCAGAAGGCACAGATACGGTGAATGTAAACTTGAGCAGCTGGCGTCACGCAGATCCCAGTTTCAGATGTAAGACTGCACATTCTCTTTCCCTTCACTGCTTTGCTTTACTGTTGGCTTCATTATGTGAAAAAGCATAGCTGATACAATGCAGGAATTGTGTGGTTCAGCCGTAGGACACCAGAAAGCTAAGTTTTACTGAACTCACAATGTTTCTCAGCTTGTGTAAGGAGACATTGAAAGACTGCCTGGCACTGAGGAAAAAAGGCTCTGTTAATATATCAGTTATGAAAAGAAAGAGAATCTAATAAGAAGCCCAGCTAAAGCACTGTGCTAGAAAATGAAGGAATACGGAGGTGAGTTGGTTCCTGTACCTTAGAAATAACAAACACTGCAAAAGAATATCCAGAAAGGAATTGGGAATTGGCAAGACACCAGCCATATTCACTCCATCCAGCAAGATGTGGCTATTGAAAAACTGCAACTTAAAGGTCAAACTCAGATTTTGAGCTTCAAAGTTACTTCTGCCCTACCATGCAATCGTGGTAGAAATATGCTGGAGCTATAGGCAGGCATGTCAGTGTCTTCCAGAGTAACAGCCTTGGGAAGAAGACCAAAGTATTAAATACAATTACATGCCTTGGCTTTTTTGACATGATTGAAATACAGCTTCTTACCTCTAGCATTAACCAGAAAATAAGGTTAAAGTAGCTGGGACTTCAGATGAAAGAAAAGCCTCTCTTACAGGAGGAAGAGGCAAAAGGAGTAGGACGAGAATCCCTCTGATCAGCAGGAAATGACAGTGCCTATGGCTGAGGGACACTGAGATCTGGGCAGGGTCATCTGTCGCTGCACCTCTGATCTGCAGAGAGGGATGGCATCTCTCCTTGCTACTTTATTTCTGTGGTTAGAGCCATGCTGGAAATGGTTTTGTGTTCCTCTCCAAGGTCTTAACTCAGCTTGACTCTTGGCAGTTCTCAATGTGCTCCTGAGCTTCCTGATCCCTGAGCAAGATTTTGCTTGTAGAAGTCACTTTTTCCATTCCCACCTAGTTCTCAGCTCATCTTAATGTGCAGGTTCATGTTCTTCCAGGTGGCTCCTGGTGCTTTGTTTTGAACAGCTTTAGGTTTATTTTACACTGATGCAAGTGTGATGCGGGATTTGGCAGTGCAGTCCAGGATGGTTTTAGAGCATGTTAGTGGGCCAGCTTCTTCACTCCAACCTGTGCCTGGTGTCCCACCAGTACACAGGCCGTTTCAAAGGATATTAGGCTACCACATTGAAGTGGCAGAGAAAAAAAGTAGGCCAGAGAAAGCACAGTGTTTTCTCAAATCTTTAGCCATTTGTCCTCAGGGAGCTGCCCTAGGCTCAGGAGTGCAGGGAGATGCTCAGTGGTCAGGTAGTCCCACAGTCTGGAGGACAGATTTCTCCTCCCTCCTTATTTCATAAGTTGCAGTGGCCTGAATTTGGTCTAGCTGAGGACCTGGACTGTGCCACCTAGTGCCCGGGTGCTGTCAGCTGCATGTTGTGATGCAGGACAACAAATTAAAACTAGGTCCCCCAAGTCTAGAATGGATTTAGTCATCCAATGCTGGGCTCAAGTAATTTCCTAGCCTGCAGCCTGTGAAAAGATAGGTCAGGGCCCCACATCAGCATGTGCCATAGCAGCTCACATGTATTTGCAGGAGGGAGACTTCAAGAGGGTGTTCATATACTTTAGCTACTGATTTTTGGTGTTTTTTTTTACTTGAGCCCAAGCTGTTCAAGCTGGGGATGGACATGTATGGGATTGCTGGTGAGGGGGTGTGCAGCAGCTGGCCCAGGGTGTGCTGCTGTTGGCAGGCTTCTTCCCTAGTGCCACAACATGTTGTCTTAGTGGCAGCAGCTGGAAAATGGCTAGCTTGGCAGTGGATGCAGCTATCCCAAAATGGTAGGTTGAATTTAACTCCACACAGCTGAGTCCTGCGGCAGTATGTCCTGAGAAGAGTCTCTGGAGTCACCTCCACTTTGCCATGCCACCTCACTGACCTGCTGCTTTCCTGCTGGAGAGGGACAGTCTCTGAGGAAGATGATAGGGATTTAGGCTCTGTCCCCAAATAACTTTTTTGCATTTTTCTGCCTGGAGCACAGCCTAGGGTAGGATGATGCTCAGTCTCGAGGAGTGAAGCGTCTTAGCTGTGTGTAGGCCTGAAAGGAAGGGGAGGGAGATAGCATGGGGCTTCAGAGCCCTGCTGTGAACAGGCATCTCCTGCCATCATACAAGGCAACAGCTGCAGATGTGGAATTACAGCTGTCTGATTTAGAGATCTATGGAAGAATGAATACTTTGGATCAGTTTAGCTCCTTGCAATCTCAAAGTTGACATATAGTCTTTTCTGATGTTAAGTATCATTACCAAGTATTTTCTTTCTCTTCTGTCACCAAATAGGCAGGAGACCATTTCATCACAGTAGTATCACTTTGCTTCAGAAGTTACTTATCTCTCCCATCTTTCCCATCTCCTTTTCAGGCTTTAATGCCCTTGTGCAGATCACCTCCCCCAGGCCAAGCTTCCACCCCCATGCATACCAGCACTGCTGAGCACTGGCCAGCTCTCCCCTTTCTGGTCTTTCTTCCTGAAGGATGACTGGAGCAGAGGGCTTGATTCCTACTTGCCACCTCTATATGGTCAGGGTCTTGCTGGATTTGCTTTCCATGCTCCTTCTCAAGTCCTGTTGGTCAACGCTGTTGTCTGGCAAGCAATCTCAGCCAGGGGACATCCTGTGCTGACAACCAGACACCTTCAGTAGCAGATTAAAGTGTATGACAGCTCACAGAGTATTGCAGCTTGTAGGTATGCTCTGATGCAAATCCCCTTGCCTGTCATACCACTACAGCTTGCACAGCACCTGTGCTGGAGCTGTGGAGCTTGCATTAGCCTCCCCACCCTTGACTGTATGATTGGCTTTCCTTCCCTTCCGCTACATATCTCCTGTTCCTTCACATTAAAAAATATACCAAATAATCTCCTGGGTAAAGAAATGTGCCAATGTCAGGAAATCAACTTCTTGGCTTGTCATCATTAACCCTGTTCAACCTGCTCCCACTGACCTTGCTTGAGGAGGGGGATTGGACCTGGCAATCTCCAGAGGTCCCTCCCCACCTCAACTGTTCTGTGACTCTGTGATCTCACAGTCCTATCTCACATGCAGCTTTACTCAAGTTTTCAGCAAGGTACTGACATAGATTTGTCACCCCAGGATGGTAAGTGATGAGCAACTGTGGCAGCTGTCTTGATAACGTGTGTGTGCCTCCACTTAGCACAGCTGTACTGCCTGGACCTTGCATTGCCTGCTCAGCAGCTGAGAGTGGATGCTTTGCAAAGAGCAGGGCAAGTGCATGTTATCCCTTGTTTAAGTCACCTTCTCACTCTGGCAGTTGGTGCTGTCACCTTCCAGGAGTTTGTGCAGAGTGATGTGACTGATGGCCCTTTGTGGACGCCTCTTCCATGAGTTTCCCCAACTGCTCATTGAATCGTGTCTTCTGAATGGCTCTAGTGGTTGCAGGAAGCTGCTCACGGAGACTTTGGGTCTGCTCTATTAGCCTGTTTCTCTTGATAATGCTTGTCCCTCCACCTGCTACATGAGTGCCTCGTGGCACAGGGGCAGGGTAGGGTGGATGCCTGGAAGCTCCCAGGGTGTGCTGGGACTGGTCTGCTGGGCACAGCAAGGAGAGCAGTGCACAAGCACTGGGACACATGGTTGAGCTGAGGTGGGGGGAAAATGATTACTGTGTGGACAGAAGTTGACTTTGCATGTTGTAACTGGGTCACTTGTGAGTGTCCCAGTCCAGTTACACAAGAGGGTTGTACTTGTGCTGTAGCCAGTGATCACCTGCTCCCTTTGCTTTTTGGCTGATATAACAGCTCCGGCTCTATGGGCTTCCCATTTTAGGTATAACTTTATTTATCTCTTAGCTATTTGTTCTTCATGTTTCCTTTATTCTGCCTATAAGTGGCTTGCCAAAGTCCCAATCTTATTTTTGCTTGAGCTGCAATTTTTTTTTTTCTTACAGAAGAAGCCTTTTGCACCTTGCTCTCTTTCCCCTCTGCTCCAGCCTTTGCTTCCTCATGTCTGTGCTGGGGGTGTTTGCTCATTGGCAGGTTTTTCACTCATGGTTTTATCTCTGGTCTTCATGTGCCATGTCCCAGCCCTGACCAGTGGGCTGAGCCTGCCCAGAAGAAATACAGCTTGTCCTAATAACCTACACATTAATCAAAACTCAGTTAAGAGCAAACCTTGATCTTCTGTACTCCAGTGAGAGGTGTGCCAAAACTGGTAGTCCATGGGACCACATCACTGTTGCTGTAGCCAGCTCCTGTTCTTCTGATGCTTTGCTTCTCAGGTTTCTTTCTGTCCTGATCTACATACCAGCAGCACATCCTTCCTAGCAGGATTCATATATATTTTGATTTCTATCACCCAGATTCTGCTTAGTCCTTGCCTTTGCCACCCCTGGGGAAGAGCAGCTGCTTTCCCTAGTTTGCACCCCATTAGGTGATGGGCTGTAGAATAAATTTGGTTTGTGTTGTGAGTCCCTGTAGCTGGATTGTAATGGCCATGTCTTGTTCTCCCTCCAGCCTACGAAGCTGTTTCCCCTGCTATGATGCCAGGGCAGATCCCCGACCCGTCCCTGACGGCCGGCGCACTGCCTGGGCTTGGCCCCTTGACAGGACTGCCTGGCACAGCCCTGACCGCCGAGGAGCTAAAGTACGCTGACATCCGCAACATTGGGGCCATGATCTCACCACTTCACTTCCTGGAGGTGAAACTTGGGAAGAGACCCCAGCCTGTGAAAAGTGAGGTGAGTCTTGGGGGCTGCTGGCTGCAGATGGCCCTGCAGGGCTATTGCCTGTACCTGCACCTGCCTGGGTTTCTCTCCTGCCTGTGCTTGAGTTTCCTGCTAGGGTGGCCAGAAGCATGTTTTATAAGCATGTCATGCTGCTTGTTTGGTGATGTGCACACGTGTTGGCAGCTGCTCCACCAGCTATCTCTTTGCTATGCCTGAATTTCTGTTCCTGCAGCATGGGCTAGGAATGGTGGCCTCAATGTCCCAGGACTGACCAGTCCCATGCAGCCATTGTCAGCCAGTTAAACTCAAACCCAGCCAGGTCTGGCACAGCCAACATGTCCGTACGTCAGGGCATGCACCCAAAGGAGAAGCCGAACTGGCCCATCACAGGGCTTGCATGATGCTTTCATCCCATCTCCAGTGCCAGTGAGCCCTTGGTGCTGCTGGTGTTGGTGCTGCCTTTCCTGCAGGGATGAGGTGCATGAGTGAGTGGCGCTGAGCGACAGCAGTGACTCAGTTTGTGCCGCAGGCACTGCTGGCTGGGGGCTGCCCCTGCCCTGCTGCTCAAGGGGGCCCTGGCTTCACCTCGGGGCTCCTGGGATGAGGAAGTGGGTGGCTTCTGCTCAGTACTGCGGGCTGGTATGTCAGAACCAGGCTGAGGGGCTTGGGAGACACTTGCATAGTGTTTTCCTTGTATGGCTGTCTCATGTGTTGGTTGTTCAGTCTTTGACTCCTTGACCCTTTTGCTGCACTGTGGTGAGTGTTTGCACCTTCCACTGCCTGTAGTAGCTGGGAACCTGTCAATTTGGAGGCACCGTGTTGATGAAGGTGGTGGCTGCTGTGATAAGGTCTGATAAACAACCCCTCTGAAGAGTGCATTTGCTCCTGTGTGAGGATGCCTCAGATAATGCTGTGTGAGGATGGGGTGATGTGCGTTCTCTGGAGATGTCGGCGAGGAGGTGCCAGATTATGTGAAAAGCTGCCTGTGATGAGCTGTGAGATGAAGGGAGTAAACATCAGTTCCAGGGAGCAGCCCTCTCTCCAAATGGTGCTGACACTTGGCTTGGCCCAACTCTTACTGAAAAAGTGCAGCAGCACCCAGGGCCACCTGTCAGGAGGGTCTTGTTCCTTTCCCCCCAGCCTCTTGTGGTGGACTTCTTATGGGGAGGACTGGTACAATGGGCTCCATCTGATCACCTTGCACTGGAGCTCTGTGATTGAGGGGGTGTCCAGTCAGCTTGTGCAGCATCCCATGGACATCACCTGGGGATGGACTGGGCAGCTCCGTAATGGCAGGAGCTGAGGCCAGGATGCTGCGGGAAGCCATCAGAAGGGCCTGGGGAATGCTGATGGCCTCTATGGGCAAAGCAGTCGTGGGTTGGAAGCTGAAGCCAAATGCTGTCCCAGCTCTTGGCCTGGGTATCATGCAGCAAACGTGGTGCAATGCCTGCCTTGCTTCATGGATTGGGGAAGAAAGGGGGAGTCTGTAGCTATGCTGTCTTCCCAGGCACAGCTCCTTTCCTGGGGTGTCTCAGGCAGCTCTGAGCTGGCCCTGCAACAGCTGCTTTTGCTCAGTGGACATGGGGATGTCGTCTCACTTGCCTCTGTGTAGCAGGGACAGAGCAGCCCTGCCCCATAGCAAGTAGTGGAAGTGCTGAGTGTCCTCAGAGCCACCATGTGGAGGAAAGATAAGGGGAAATCCACTGGCAGACCCCGCACAGCTGCCTTCCCTGCAGCTGGTTCCTCCCCTGCATGGCCTGTGAAGCTGAGGAGTTGAGGACAGCAAATGGAGCTTCCTCTGGTACAGGCTTTGCAGCGAAAGCCTTGGGGAGCTGAAGCAGTAGCTGCTTATCCCATGAGTAGCCAAGAAGCTGCCCACACATAATTTTGCAATGCAGTCTGTAGCTGCCTTCCTCTCACAGGGAGCCGTAGCCCAGGGATGCTGGGTACTGGCCTGCCATGCTCTGTGTGGTGCCTGGGAGGGCAGGCCGCTCCCCCTGAGCTGGGGCACAAGCAGCTTTCTCTGATGTGCTGTGGGGACCAGCATCTCTGGGCAGCAAAGTGTTTGTCCCTGGGAGCATGCACAAAACCCACCCAGTGGGTGCTGGGCACTGCCTTCCTTGCAGGGTGGTGGACAGCACCACTGGGCAGGCTGCCCTCCTCTTGGGGCAGTGGGAGACAGGTGCTGCTGGAATGCACCTGGGGTGCTCTCTCTGGGACACAGCCCTGCCCCTCAGGCTGATGATCACTTCTGTCCCTGATGCTGCTGATTGAAGCAATTCAGAAGGCAATCCCAGACCTTTTACCCACAGGGCTCCCCTGGAGATTGGCTACTGAAACATGCTGTGGGGTGGTACACCCTCTCTGTCCCTCGTGCCTCTGAGTAGAGTCCTAACCCCCAGAACCAGGGCCATGTCACATTTTTGAACCGAAATCAAGCAGAAGCAGAGAGGGGGAAACCTGTTTTCTTGAAGTTACAGGATCTGTGGTCAAAAAGGAGAACTAAGAGTTAAAGCTCCTACTATCTGTGCTGAGCCACCCTCCTTGAGCATCTGTACCCCATCTAAAGGACATGGCCTTTTACTGGGCCCTCTCTGGGGTGGAGGGTGGAGCTGAAGGGCACAGGGGCAGGTCACTTTGATTCTCACTGGATGGAGCAACAGGGCACAGAAATGTGTCAGGCAGTTCCCAGGGACACTGTGAGGCTTGTGTGGTCACTGCTTGCTCTTCCAGTTCCTGCAACAACCTGAGATGTACCTTGCAGGAAAGTTTATGGTGTGTTTCTTAAGCTGTGAGCATGCATCCCCTTTCTGCACCCTCCTAATAATCCTTAAACTAAAAGGCCAAGAAGTTAAGGGGCAGATGAGTAGTTGGTAAATGTGCGGTGGGGAATGGTGACTACCCTGATGTCCACCTCCTCTTAAACTCTGAGTGAAAGTTTTGTAAGAGCTGCTTGTGCCTTTGCTGTGGGGTATTCTGGTCCTTCCAGGAGGAAAAGGCAGCAGAATGTGAAGTTAGAGCCTTCCTGGTCACTTCTGCTAACACCTGCCATGTCTGAGTTACGTGGGTGTAGTGAGAGCTGGCTGCTTCTAGCTGGAATTGGGAGCATCAGTTCAGTTCCCATCCTGGTTCTCCCAAGCATGGTGCATGATGCCCCATGGCACTGTTTTGGCAAAGGAATGGTGGCAGCCTGGCATTACAGAAGTCTGTGCATAGCTTGTGCTGACTTTGCTTAAAATTTTAGCCCCAGGTAAAATAGCAACTTTAGTATAATGCTTGGGAAGTAAGGTAGAGGAGACACAAAAGCTATTAGTGCTACACAACTTGTACATTGTCTTCTAAAGCATGCTGCATATTGGACATACAGCTTACTTAATGTACCCCTTTACCCTAGCTCTGATGAGTCAGTGTTTCATCCCATCTTTGCATGTCACATTGAGATGTTTTTGAGATGGTTGGGTTAGTGGGCTTTGGACTTAGTGAATGTCAGCAGTGTGCACAGTTTGCTGTGGACAATGGCACCTGCAGCTTTCATTTCCTGCAGGCACCTGTGGGGTCATCTGGTGGCCCTCCACTCCTGTCACCACTCTGGTCTTGGCACTGGAAATCTCTGACTTTCCCTTTGAGGTGACTAAGACCAGGTGCTTGAGCAACAAGACTGTTCAGATGGTGTGTGATGCAAGAGGCTTGTCTGGGAGATGTGTCCCTCAACCCCACTGAATTGGGGAAGTATAAAGGAATGGAAGACTGGAGCTGCCCTTAGAGAATGTTCAAACAGGCTGTGGAAGTGCTCATAAAGCAAAAGTTGCTGCCACTGCATTTGAAAAGATGTGTGCTGTCAGGTATCAGCTGATAGAAATGAGGCGGCTCAGTCTGACATCTCAAATTTCAGAGTCCCAGGCCAAATGTGGATGAAGACACTGGGATCTTTTCTTCTCTATCCATGCTACAAAGTGAACCTGGGTTATCACTTTGCAGGTCTTTCCAGCACTTGAATATTTTTTTTTTCTTGAAGGAGTTGGTTTGGGTTCTCAGATGTAAAGCATGCCATAGGCCACTTACATAGACTTTGTAGTAAATGTCCTTAAATACTTTGATTATGGGTTTCTAACCCATAGGGCTTATTGGCCTGGCCTGTGTGGTTTGAGTCAGACAGCACAGAGCAACTGAGTAATGGTGAACAGTGCAAGCACTGCCATGTCCTGCTTCTTTACAGGGGATGTGGGGCCTCTCCCCACCTTACCATGGTGGCCCTGTGACTTGGCCAGTGCTGAAGCTGCAGCAGACAGCCCCATGTACTGGAATGCAGGGGACAGCCAGGCCCACCTGGGGGATCTTTCAGGTTTCTCTGCCTCTCACCCTTGGCTGTGTGTGTGATGCTTTGAATGACTGTGCTCACAGACTTGTGCCTGTTAGATGTCAGTGTGACAAACTGTGCCCATCTGTGGAGGATGGAGCTTTCTTCCCCTTGTCTCTGCCCTCTCTCAGGGAGGGAGCAGCTCTGCAAAGAGCTGTCTGTCCCTTGCCATCTGGGTCACCAGCTGTCGGTACTGCACTGAGCTCTCTCTCCTTGTCCCCACAGAGTGGAGTTAGAGGCATTCCAGCAGCATGCCTGGTTACTGGTGAAGATTAGACCATGTTGCTGGTGGCCACTGGCATGGGTGGCTGCCACCTCTCCTCCTTGCCTGGCCACTGGTGGGGCTGCTGGGTGCTCACTGCCACCTCCTACCCTGCCCCACACCTGCCAGCTCTGACCTGGGCTTTTCTGTCTCGTTGCAGCTGGATGAGGAAGAGGAGAGGAGGAAAAGGCGTCGAGAGAAAAACAAAGTAGCAGCAGCACGATGTCGTAACAAGAAGAAGGAGAGGACGGAGTTCCTGCAGCGGGTGGGTGGCCTGACCTGTCCCAGGGCACAGTGGGGATCTTGGCAGGGGTACCTCCCTAGGAAGGTGCCCCACTTGCGGGCACTGCTCCCTCCTGAACTGCCTCTGCTTCCTCTTGCTCCTGTGCCCTTACCTGGGAAAATACAGGCCCCTTTCCACAAGGCTGTGAAGGTGGTGGCCATGTGTGTGCCTGGGCAGAGCTCACGGGCATCCCTATGCCTGTGGTACGAGGGATGGACAGGGCTGGGGGTGAGCTCTGGGCTTGGGGGAGAGAGGGCTGATAGTGTCCCTGCCTCAGTGCTGGAGCAGGAGCACCTGTGGAAGTGTGGCACAGGACAGGGACTGACAGCGTGCTGGCCTCTTGCCCAAATTCCTGCAAGTTTCCCTGTTCAGAGCTCAGATGCCCTCTCAGATGTGACCCCAAGGCAGAAGAGCTCTTACAGCACCTTGCTGCTTTTCTGCAAGGGGTGGTGGGACATGGGCAAATGACCCAGTGGGGAACAAGGAGCCATTTCACAAGGGCAGATCCCTGTGGATGGGGTGTGAAAACTTAAAACATGGATTCGTTTCCAAACATCTTTCTAGACCATGGAAAGCAGCCAGGCAGGGTTTTTGCTGTGGTGCAGCAGAGACCTGTCCTAGGAGGTGGCTGTGTATTTCCTTGCAGTGGCACTAGGTAACACAAGGCAGCAGCAGTGGGCCTGGGGATGAACTGCCTGGAGGGACCTGGTGCCTTGGCAGACCTTCAGGCTGCTCCTGTGCTGCTGGGGCTGAGGGGCAGCACTGAGCAGAGGTGGCTTGTTGGCCAAATTCACAGAATCACAGAATCAACTAGGTTGGAAAGGACCTTGAAGATCATCTAGTCCAACCATTAACCTAGCACTGACAGTTCCCAACTACACCATATCCCTCAGAGCTATGTTGACCCGACTCTTAAACACCTCCAGGGATGGGGACTCCACCACCTCCCTGGGCAGCCCATTCCAACGCCCAACAACCTGTTCTGTAAAGAAATGCTTCCTAATATCCAGTATAAGCCTTCCCTGGTGCAACTTGAGGCCATTACCTCTTGTCCTGTCGCTTATTACTCGGTTAAAGAGACTCATCCCCAGCTCTCTGCACCCTCCTTTCAGGTAGCTGTAGAGGGCGATGAGGTCTCCCCTCAGCCTCCTCTTCTCCAGACTAAACACCCCCAGTTCCCTCAGCCGCTCCCCGTACGACCTGTGCTCCAGACCCTGCACCAGCTCCGTTGCCCTTCTCTGGACACGCTCGAGTCATTCAATGTCCTTTTTGTAGTGAGGGGCCCAAAACTGAACACAGGAATTGAGGTGCGGCCTCACCAGTGCCGAGTACAGGGGTGAGATCCCTTCCCTGTCCCTGCTGGCCATGTTATTGCCGACACAAGCCAGGATGCCATTGGCCTTCTTGGCCCCCTGGGCACACTGTTGGCTACTGTTCAGCTGGCTATCCTTTTGGAGTAAAGTCACATATGGTTGTGTTTCTGTCCTGCTAGGAGTCCGAGCGTCTAGAGCTCATGAATGCTGAGCTGAAGGCCCAGATAGAAGAGCTGAAACAAGAGAGGCAGCAGCTGATCCTGATGCTGAACCGGCACCGTCCCACCTGCATCGTGCGGACAGACAGCATCAAGACGCCCGAGAGCGAAGCCAACCCACTGCTGGAGCAGCTAGAGAAGAAGTGAAGGTGGCACTGGGCCAGGAGGAGAAGACAGTGGTGCAGGGTCTTCCAGGGTCTCTAATGTATGTACTGTATGAAGAACTGTGCACCCAGGCCTGGTGCAGCCAGGACCCAGTGGGCTTCCTTGGGAACTATGGACCAAACAAATATGGGGACAGAGAAGATCAGGAACCTGTCAACCATGTACTCTGAGGCTGAACCCGGGAGCAGGGCTAGTGGCGCCGGTGAGGGCAACCTCCCTGTGATACCTCATCCCTGCCCTTCAGTCTGCTCGTGGCTCCAGGGACGCACGTCCCACCAGGACCACACGCCTTGTGGGGAGCAGGGCCCGCAGGCGGAGGAGCGTGGCTGCGTGATGCCTGCCGGCGCCCTGCCCAGAGGCTGCTGCCGCTCCTGGCACACGCTCCGGAGGGAAACACGAACCCAAGAACCGCAAACACTTGATGCAGCCCCGTCTGGTGGGCAGGCCTGTCGGGGCTTGGTGGCGCAGGCGCCCCCCACAAGCACACTCTCAGTATAATGTTTACAGCCCAGCTGTCCATGTCGGCCGTGCTTTTGAATGCACATTTTTACACTTTTTTAAAGTATTTTTTACAAAGTTTTTATACAGCAATCTCTATATGGATTTATATAATCACTAGATGTGATCCCATAGAAGTGTATGTTATGATGGTCTGTTTGTTACAAACACATATGCCACAGTTATCTCCATTGTGTTACGTGTCTGGCTCCTTCCCCAGTGTGCTGGGAAAGGGGTCTAAGCCGCCCTCCGCAGTGGTGTCGCTACCCTTTCCATCCATGTATGTCCTTCATAATACTCAGTTCTGTATCTTGCAGTAAATGTTACCTTTACGTACACCATCCTCCTGTGCTGTGTCTGGGTCAGGCCACAGTGGGCTCTGGCCAGAGTTTGGCAGCATGTGCCAGGTCTGACCATGCTGTTCCTGGCTGAGTGGGATGGTGGAGCTGATCCTAGAGCCGGTTTTGGTAGTTCTTTGTTAGCAGCCATGGGCCAGGAGAATTCACCCTGGGGAAGCTGGGAACCTCAGAGGCCGCTCTGACCATTGTCAAGCAAGAAGTAGCTTGGTGCTGCACCAAAGAGGGCAGACAGGGCATGGCTTGCTGGCTGGAAAGGCAGAGGTGTGAGGGAGGGAGATCATCGCATGTTTGCATGGTCCTTGTTTCAGGCCTGAATACAGCATCTTGAACTCATTATAGAGATAAGAAGGAGAGGAGGGAAGCTCTCACAGTGTTCTTGTGGTGATCCCTACATAGATGGTGGTGGACAACCGTTCCTCTGGGTCCTGGCCAAGTCCTAGCCTTGCCCCTAACTAACGTTCTGGGAAAGCTCCTAAAGCTTGCCCTAGGCTTCAGCCAGTGCTGAGCACAGGGATGGGGAGGCTGAGAAGATAATCAGCCAGGTGTGCTTCAGATACTAGGACTGAAAGAGTTAGTGTTCCCATATGAATAACCAAGTCCTGACACTATTGCTGTGTTCCTGACTCTTAGATATGAAGGTGGTGGGAAGGTGCCTTGGTCTGGACTGTGGCAGACCCCATCTCACACATCAACAACACTGAGAGCTGTCTCAGCGGAGCAGTGGTGCACCCAGTCTTCTCCCAGTTGGTGTCCTACCCATTACCAGTGAGGATGAGGCTATTCTGATGCAAACTGCAAGTGAAAGAAGCTTTCAGGACCTGGTACAGATACACGCTCCAGTCAGGAACACCAAAGCAGTGTTGGGGATAAGATGAGCTTGAGCTAAACAAGAGTATGGGAAGAGGTCTTTCTTGAGCATAGCTGCTTCTCTAGTGCGTATTTCTCTCTTTGTAGCCTCCTTTGCCAACCCTTTAACCTCCAGGGATATCGGACATTAGTCCTTTCCCTGTTTCATACTTTCTTTCTGGATTTCCCCTTCCTTTCCATAACTTACGTCTTTGGGACCTCCCAGAATGCTGCCAGCTGCCTTATTTAAGTGTGAAGCATGTTGGATCTGTTAAAGGCAAAGTTTTTGCCCAGGGTGGACTCGTTGGCTGAGGTGCTCTAGAGGGATGTGCAAGGGCAGGCCCTTTCCAAAGCTGGTGGAAAAAAAGCAGTGTCTGGCCTGGCTGCCACCACCTGCCATGCAGCCCTTGAAGCTGGACAGCTGTCCCTCTGCGCTTCCTTCTGCCCAGACCTTGCAAGGGTGGCTTAGACCTGACCCATTTCTTCATTGCTGTCAGGAGCCAATCTTCATACTTTGATTAACACAGTGCCTCTCATCAAGCTCTGCTGAAATGACACAGAGCATGTGCTGGGCCTGCTTCTCTCTTCAGGGCTGTATTTCCCTCTGCAGAGTGTACATGGTAATGAATTTCCAAGCTCCTGCAAGTATCAGTTTCCTCTTTGGTGGTCAGTGGGAGCTCCCTGTGGGGCATCATATAGTCCAGCCACAGCTGTCTCATGCTTTTTACTCACCTGGAGAGTCTGTGTGCTCATCTCCACAGTGGGACAGTGGGGACTCGCCCACCTACCATGCATCTTCCAGCAGCACTGGCAGTGGCTGTGGGTGCAGGCGATGGCCCCATTCTGGCAAATGGCCACACTGCAGTAAAACTTCCTGTTATGAAAACAGCTGGCTTGAAAAGAGAAATATAAGGTGCCCTTTGAAACCCAGCATGCTAGAAGCAGCTAGCAAAGGCAGCAGCAAGAGTGATAGATCTACATCAGTTTAATGCTCAACTACTCTAGCCAAGGCTCAGGCAGGAGCTATCTGAGCCCTGGCAGTGGCCAGACAGGGTTTTGCCCAGGCTCGTGTATATCCTCCAAACAGCTTTTTGCTGTATTCCAGTCAGTACCAAGGACTTTTCCACTTTTCAGGGGACTTGGTTAGGCCATGACCCAAAAAGCTAAAGCAGAGGGTGTGGGCCTCTATCCTGTAAGTTACAGCCTATGAGGGTTGAATGGGAAAGGCTCCATCTCTGCCACCTCCTGGGCCCCTCCTGGTCCCTGCAGGAGATGGGCTTTTTGATGTTCTTGACTCTGGTAGCATGTGTCCTCTCCAACTGCCCCTTAGAAGAGGCACAAATAGTGCCATGGGACAGGCAGTCCTGCAGGACGCCTCTCAGGCTGGTGCATTACAGTAGCATCTCCTGGGCAAGAACAGGAGCAGTGGGCACATGCCTGGCACAGCCCATGTTGCTGCATGCCAGAACGGTGCTCCCAAACCTAAAGAGCAATGGTTGTACCTGTGGCAATGTCCTTCCACCTGCGTCCCCTTCATGCAAGGGCTGGTAATGCAGATTTTGGAAAATACAAGGGACGCTTCTCAAAGGGCAGGCAGCCACCTCCTGGCCATCCCACACCCACATATCCTGTGTGCTGGGTGCTCTGTGGGCCACTATGTGAGCAGAGCTGATGGTACCATGTACTTCTGGGACAGGGCTTGGGGCCAGTGGTGCTGGCAATGGATGTGAGAGATGCGATAGACACACTGACAAACGTGAGGCTGCTGCCAGCCCACGGTTCAGCCAGTCCTTAGGCTGAACCCCTAGACCTGATGGGCGGGCACACATGCACAGCTCCCCCCACTCACCCTCACAGCCAGCCCCCACCCTCACCCCCTTGCCCCTCTGGATGCTTCCCATAGCTGGTTTTAGATGGTCTCCACAGTTGCTGGCACTGGGCACAGGAGCCCTGGAGGACCACAGCCCCTTGGCACCGCTGGCATGCAGACCCCTTGCCCCACTCGCTGACTAGTCCAGCCTGAAGTTTGCTCGTGCTCACATAAACCTGCCCACGAGATGCTTGGAAATGGGTTTTTCACCAGCCCGCTGCCAGGCTGCTGCGGTGCTCGTGCACTGGGGAGCCGAGGGGCGCAGGGAGCCGCTGGCCGCCTGCGGGCCCTGCTCCCCACAAGGCGTGTGGTCCTGGTGGGACGTGCGTCCCTGGAGCCACGAGCAGACTGAAGGGCAGGGATGAGGTATCACAGGGAGGTTGCCCTCACCGGCGCCACTAGCCCTGCTCCCGGGTTCAGCCTCAGAGTACATGGTTGACAGGTTCCTGATCTTCTCTGTCCCCATATTTGTTTGGTCCATAGTTCCCAAGGAAGCCCACTGGGTCCTGGCTGCACCAGGCCTGGGTGCACAGTTCTTCATACAGTACATACATTAGAGACCCTGGAAGACCCTGCACCACCTGTCTCTTATAC